CCGGGAAAAGGAAGCCTTTGCTCTTTGCCCGCTTGCTCACTCCTTGCTTTCAAGCCCATTTCTTCACTGGCATTGGAGCCTACTTCTTTGTAGAGCACTTTTGAGGCAGGGTGCCAAAACCAGTGAAAAATTAGACAAGCTATAATTGGTTACATGGGTGTTGTGATCTGGACTCGATCTAATCCAGGTTATTTTCTGTGTAATGTGGACTCTAGTTACACTTACCTTTACTGAGATACCATAAGTAAATAAGCAAACCTTCCCCCAAGAGTGTAATAATTGAGAATATGTTGTGTTTTCCTTCCTCAGGGAAGCACAGTGAACATGAACCTCATGGGATGGCTGTATACTAAGATTGAGACTTCACTGGGCTCGGCTGGCCACCTGACCCTGGGAGTGACACTCATGATTGGTGAGTGAATCCTTCTGTCCCATGTCTTGTCCTCTGAAGGCCTGCCGTAGGAGATACTGTGCCAAAGGAGAAAGAACTCTAGACTCAGTGCTGACACTGTGGTTATGGGTTGTGATTTTGCCTCCATAGTTTACTAGTTCTTCTGGTTGGAAATAGTCATGTACCTTGTTTCTTCTTTAACTGGCACTTCTGAAGGGGGACCTGATTTTCCCATGTGTACCTCAGTGCTTTTGTTGTATATTGTATGTTCAAAGAGACTGTGTGTGTGAAGTGAGGTCAGCCAGGGAGTATGTCCAGGTGAGCTCACAGTCTTGAACAGCAGGAGGAAGCTGGGATCCTTTCACGCAGGCCCAGCGAGGCCACTAGAGAGAAGTAGCGTGGCGTGGTGGGAAGTCCACGTAGTTGAAAGCCGGAAACCTGGGATCATTCTCTGCTGCCATTACTAGTGGTCTTTGTGGGTCTTTGCATACTGGGGGGGTACCTCTTGTCTCTTGGTTCACTGACCTAGTCCCGCAGTGCCAGTTGCCGAATATGAAGGTCTGTGTGTACCTGTCAGCCTGCTCTGCACAGATCTCAGACTGTGACGAGCCCCGGGTGTCACTGGCTTCCCACAGTGGCTTGTGGAGCAGTGAGGGGCAGCTTGGTTTCGCATGTCTTCTTTTCCTTGTATTTACTTGATGCACACAGCGGTTAAAGAGGTAGTGGGGGCGAGGCTAACGGGAATCTATCTCAAGGCTGCTTTTTCCCACACCCTCCTTCTCAGTTGCTTTGTCTTAGTTAGTTATTTTTACTGTCATTGCTCTTCAGCATTCCATTGAGTTTTCTCCACATGCAGAATTTTAAAGAATTTCAAAGGTAGAAAAGAAATTGGCCGTCATCAAATCAAAGCCTTTCATTTTTTTACCTGAGGAATTGAGCCTTAGAGAGGCCAAGTTTGTGTCCAAAGCCATCACCTTGTCAGTGGGTGGCAGGGGCAGAACCCATGTCTACTGGGTCCCCTTACAACACGTTCTTTGATTTGGAACATACATAGTGTGCTGCTCAGCTGGAAATTCCTCCCCCCTCTTCCTGTGATATATGTATGTGTTCGTGTTGTTCTGTCCACATGTGCATACGGGTGAACATGTTACATGTGTGTGGAGGCCAGAGGTCAGTGGTAGATGTCTTCCACCGTCACTCCCCACCTGAGGTTCTGAGACAAGGTCTCTCACTGAAGTTACTCAGTTAGACTGGCTGCCAGTGAGCTCCGAGGATCTCCTGTCTTCACCTTCCTGTAGCAGCCATCCGCTCTCTCCAGTCTCTGCAAGCCCAGGCTGTTTTGTTCCAGCATTTTCTTTCTAGTTTCCAACCTTCTGTTGAGCCATACTGTGCTAAAAGTGACCCCTGCTTGCCGGCTGTGTGCCGCTCTGTGCTCTGTCCCTCTTGTGTGTGTGTTTGGCGTTGGTCTGCTTTTCTTAGCCCTGGCTCTATTTCCCCTTCTCAGTGGCCACACTGCTGCTTTGTGTAGGTGTAGCTTTCCCCAGCTTTTGAGCTTTTCTAAAATTTCTCTCCTTTATTTAGGGGGTGTAACGTGCATTCTTTCACTACTCTGTGCCTTGGTCCTTGCCTATTTGGATCGGAGAGCAGAGAAAATCCTTCATAAAGAGCAAGGAAAAACAGGTACATCAGCCTGGAAGAAGCGTGGGATGGAGGACACGGAAAATAATCCAGATCAGACCAAATCAAACCGAATTAGAAAAAGCCCAGGCTTAATGGATACTAACACTCCCAGGTGACCTTCCAGGCCCTCAGAGAGGAGATGGGAAGGAAGACCTACCGGAAAGGACATGTTTGTTCTGAGGGTGGGGGGAGGCAGTTTAAATACCCTGTGGGAGTGGTCTTGAGCATCTCTGGGGAGGGGTCACTTTTCGGCAGACTTTCTCAGAGGTGGAGTCTGGACTGAGGCAACTCCCAGGGGAGGGGGTTTGGGATGGAACCTCCACCTGAACATTGCAGACTCTCTGGATATAGGATGCCGGGGGGGCTGGGGTGATGCCTCTAACTAACAGGCACCTTTAAAGCTACTTTACAGTGACATAACCAGAGTACAGTGCTGTGGTGCTGAATGTTTGTATTTTCAGATTCATTTCTGCTTATCTAAATTTTTGTATGTATTCCTCCGTTTAAACGTTTTGACAGACCGTACATTCTTGATTCTGTTTTCATATTAGTAAAATGATTTTAGTTCCCATAGACTGGAACAACTGTACCTTCTGTTTTTTCTTATTACTTGAAAGTTATCTCAGAGATGCTATTTGTGGAATTTTCCAGAAAAATGTTCAATTATGTGAATAAAAATGATGGCCATAGATGAAAGGTCCTGAGGTTTATGAAATAGTATGTCTTCCCTTTCTCAAGGTGAAGTCGTTAAGCTGACTGACATAAAGGACTTCTCCTTGCCCCTGTGGCTGATCTTCCTCATCTGTGTCTGCTACTACGCAGCGGTGTTCCCGTTCATCGGCCTGGGCAAGTGAGTACCCTCCAGCCGCCCGCCCGCCCGCCCGCCTGTAAGTTATAGCGAGAGCTGAGTCACGTCGATGAATGGGTACTTTCTGTAGTTAGGTTGTCCACTCTGGACACGGTGTATATTTAGACTACTTATGTTCTGGAATACAGTGGGCATTGACAGCTCCCGGCTTAGCTTTGTTTTAATACTTTCATTATTCTCTTGAAGAAATCCTTTAAAATTTTCTTTTGTTCTTGGATCAGGAGGCTGCTTACTATGAATGGAAGTTGTGCCTTGGTGCCTGGCCACTTAGGGTTAGTCCTGCCAGACTTAGGATCAGGATTCAAGGCAGGTTCTTGCTTGCTTCGTTTGCTTCTTGCCTCCTTCGTTGGCTGTTGCGGTGTGAGAATGCAAATGTGTTTGCAGGAATTGTGCTTTTATGTCTTTATAACCTTTAAAACCACGTAGTCACAGTGACAAGAACTCTATTGCACAGTAAAGGACTCGGCCGTTCTGCTGTTACTTTGTTGTTCTGAGACGTGTGGGCAGGCATAGCTGAGTCAGGGAAGGAGTCCCATGAGTCCTTGAGCTACCTGACTGATAAAAGATAACAGTGGGAGAATATTATCAGGAAAGGGAAGCCCACTGGACATTCGAGTTATTTTTTAACTTGTCTTTATTTCATGAAGCGAAAGTAGTTCTCCTAATGTGCACACTTTTCTTTTTTAATTTTAGAGTTTTTTTCATAGAGAAATTTGGATTTTCTCCCCAGTCAGCAAGTGCAATTAACAGGTATTTGGTATAATTCTGTACGTTCTTGTTGCATGTGATATTTGGGGTATTCATAAGCAGAGGTTGTGCCTGAGAGGTCAGAAAAGTTGTGTGACCCCAGACCCCCCCAATACTGCAGACCCCAGTCCCAGGGACTTGACTTTGCATTAAGGGGCGGGGGGCGGGGAACCAAAACAAAAGAATTCTCCTTGGTTTTTCTCTTTCTCTTTTCTGGCGGTCATTTGGGAAGAGTGCTGAATTAACGAGCTGGACTTGCTTAGTCTGCTGGTTGTAGCGATGCTGTGTGGCCTTCTGTTAATTCCTGTGCTCTCTGGGCAGTATCGTGTATGTCATATCAGCTCCCATGTCCCCAGTATTCGGACTCCTGGTGGACAAAACTGGGAAGAACATCATCTGGGTCCTGTGTGCAGTAGCTACCACTCTCCTGTCCCACATGATGCTGGCCTTCACCTTCTGGAACCCATGGATCGCTATGGTAATTAGCGGGGGATGGTCAGGGCCTCAGAGAGAGCTCAGGGATGCTTGGTGTGCCTGGCAAACCCAGCTGGCAGTGCCGAAGGGGACGTGACTTGATAATTTTTGACAAAGTAAATACTTTTTTATAAAAGGATTATCAGTTATTAATTTATAAGGGTTTTCATTTGGCTTATTTAGTAGAGAGCCACCAAAGCTGAAGTAGAATTTGAAACAAAATAGTCTCATGACTGGAAAACTAATTACTTCCATTTATTTTTCTGAGCTGCATTAAAATAAGTCATTTCATTAAAAGTGACCAACCTTTTGGCCTGGTAGCCATTCTTCTGCCTCTGATTCTTAGTAGGAATAAAGGTGGCAGGAAGTCCATGAAGGTTTTGCCGTCTTCTTGGTGTCCGTTTTCAGAGTACAGGCTGGAGTGCTGTGTGTCTTTCCGTTCTCACTGGAGCACCCTGGGCCTCAGTGGGCAGTTCCACGGAAGTCTCCCACACGGACATCCAGGTCCTAGGAAGAGGAGCACTGCCCTAGAGGCTTTGTACAGGGGACGTCTTAGGTTACGATGCGCAGGGGCTCCTTCCTCATTTGTAACTGTGCCAGGAGTGCACGGATGTGTCCGTTTTCCTTGCTAATGTTGGGTGTCAGCATTATTTTCTTGTTTACCAGTTTGATAGGTACACGTAATACTTAATTTAAATTCATATCATGCTTTTTCTTCTTCTTCTTCTTCTTTTTAATTTGAGACATACTCTTGCTGTATACAGCTAAAGTTATCTCCAAATTCACTATGTAGACTCGACCGGCCTTGCACTCAAGAGTTCCACATCTGCAGGTCTGTTGCCGTCATATTTGGCAAGTTCCTTTTTTTTTTAATTGCGAAAAGGGCCTTGTCACATAGCGTCTAACAGATGGTGATGACAGCTGGATCCCTGCTCTGCTTTTCAGTTCAGAATTGGTCTTACACGGGCAGCAGTAGAATAACGCCACTCTGCTGCCTTGATTATTTCATCTGTTATTAAGGAAAATCAGGTAAAAATCATGCCTGAAACATGGTTAGGAACTTCTTGGGAATTATCTGTGCTCTTGACTACACAGTGGCCCAGACAGTTTATACACACAATTGAAAATGTTTAAGACAGTGCCGAGCACTGAGAGAGGCCCAAATGTTTCAAATTTTAGTCTAATTACAGTAAAACATATTTACATTTTCATTTAGCTAGTATGTGACTTTACTCATGTTTATCAAGGAAAATCACACACTGTATCCTTCTGCCCTGCTGTCCAGTGTCTCCTGGGACTCTCCTACTCCTTGCTCGCCTGTGCTCTGTGGCCAATGGTGGCATTCGTAGTTCCGGAACACCAGCTGGGAACTGCATATGGGTTGTAAGTACTGCATTTTCATTGCCTGTTACACACACTGCCTTCCGCTGTGTCGGTTATCATGATGCTCTGTGTGTCCTAACTATACTTACGCTCAGAGTTCTGGGACAGCGCTGACCCGCGGGTGACTGGAAACGTCAGTTGGTCCGTTGTAAGCAGCTGTTGTGGTGTTTCTGGTCGTTTTCCCTAATCTTGATCTGAGGAAAACAACCCAATAGAGAAGGTTTAGTTTAGTTCCTGGTTTTAGAGGTTTCAATCCATAATTCTTAAACTCCATTGATTCTAGGCTAGTGGTGAGGCAGATCCCTCACGGCAGCCTGTAAGCAGGTGCGCGCACACACACACACACACACACACACCCTACACCTATTCTGAGGCCTTTCTTCCTGTATTACTCAGGGCTCTCTAGAGTAACAGAATTCATGGAATACATCTCTCTATGTAGAAAGGGACTTGTGGAGTGGCTTACAGGCAGCAGCCCAGCTAGTTCCAACAACGGCTGACTATGAATGCCAAGTCCAAGAATCCAGTAGCTGTTCAATCCATGAGGCTGGATGTCTCAGCTGGTCTTCAGTGTACTCTGGATTCTGAAGATGTAGGCTTAAATGCCAGTGAAGAAATAGTCTTGCTAGGGAGCCGAGACCAGGCAGGCAAAGAGCGGAAGCTTCCTTCTTCCATGTCCTTCTAGAGGCTTCCAGCAGAAGGCGAGCTCAGATTAGAGGTGGGTCTTTCCACCTCAAAGGTCTGGATTAAAGGTATCTTCCTAACTCAAAGATCCAGGTTAGAGGTGGACCTTACTTCAAATTAGGTAAAATTCCCTCATGGTGTGTCCCTCTGTTTCTGTTTTTTTTTTTTTTTTTATTATGTGTACAGCATTCCTTCCATGTATGCTTGCACGCCAGAAGAGGGCACCAGACCTCATTACAGATGGTTGTGAGCCACCATGTGGTTGCTGGGAATTGAACTCAGGACCTGTGGAAGAGCAGTCAGTGCTTTTAACCTCTGAGCCCCCCTGTTTCTGGGTTTTATAATTCCAGATGTGGTCAAGCTGACAACCAAGAGTAGCCATCACAGGTCCTTTTATTTTCGTCAGGCCCCCAGCCTATGGGTGGTGCTTACCCATGTCCAGGGTTTCCCACTGAAGTCCTTCCTCCAGACATGACCAACAGACATACCCAGAAGAGTTCTTTTCTGTTGGGTGCTCCTCAGTCCAGGCAGACACAGTTAGTTACACTTGGCCATCCAGCAAGGGAAGCCCCTAGCAAGACAGCTGACGGAAGCTAAAACCCATAGGAGCCATGGCCACTCCTGTCCATCTGAGCTCTGCTCAGTGGGAGGGTAATCCGTATCCCAGGCCCCCAAAGGCAAAGGGGGGTGCCTGCTCCGGTGACTGCTGTGCAGCAGCTTTCTCCCTTTCCTTCATCAGGTAGGCGTTTCAGACTTCCCTTGCCTTGGAGCCAATGGTCGAATATCAGGAACAGTCCCAGTGAAACCCCAAATCTGCTGGGAGTGGTGGTGCACACCTTTAATCCCAGTGCTCAGGAGTCAGAGCCTGGTGGATCTTTATGAGTTCGGGGCAAGCTTGGTCTACAGAGTGAGTTCCAGGCCAGCCAGGGCTACTTAGCTGCCTTGTCTCCAAAACCCAAAATCTATCCATGTGCTCCCTGGCTGAGAATCTTTCGTAATACTTGTAATGTGTGGTCTGTGATACTAATACTAATAATGAAGTTAGTCTGTGTATGAAGACTCTGGAGAATGAAATGATTTTTTTTTTTATCCCAAAAATCCTAGCATGCAATCCATTCAGAACCTCGGGCTGGCCGTCATTTCCATCCTTGCTGGCATGATACTGGATTCTCGGGGATACTTGCTCTTGGAGGTTTTCTTCATTGCCTGTGTTTCTTGTGAGTGTGCCATGTGGCAGCATTTGATTTCTTATGATACAGAGTAAAACGTGCAGATTTTCACAGTTGGGTTTGCCATATCATCTAAAGGAAGGTAAACAGTTTATGTGCCTCAGCAAGTAAGGGCAAGCAGCCAAGCTCCACCGTGGGGGCTCTGAATTGGCTCCGGGTGGGAAGTTAAGGGTGACATTTTCATTTGCTCCTTTGTAAAGGCACATGGTGTCGTCAGATGAGAAATCCCTGCAAGGCCTACTCCTGTGGAGTGACAAACTGGCCAGGAGCTGGCTGGAGTTCTGGGGCGAGAAGTGAGGAAGGAGAGAGAGAGAGAGAGAGAGAGAGAGATAGGGAGAGAGAGGGAGCTCGCACGTGTGTGTGCTTGTGTATGTGTGTGTGTGGGTGGGGTGTTGGCTCCCTCCTTCCTGTGAGGTGTCAACCGTTCACTGGCTGAGTCATCCCTGAGCTAAGAGCAGTGATTCCCTGTAGGGAAAACGCTGCCGCACTTGAGAGCTTTCAGAAACAAAGACCTGTGTTTTTAAAATACCAATTGTCTTAGGGTTTCTGTAGCTGTGAAAAGACACCATGACCATGGCAACCCTTATAAAAGAAAGCATCTAGTTGGGGGTGGCTTACAGTTCAGAGTTTAGTCCATTATCATGGTGGGAAGTATGACCACACGGAGGCAGGGGTGGTGGAGAGATAGCTGAGAGTTCTACGTCTTGATCCCTGAGCAACAGGAAATGAACTGTCCCACACTGGGCATAACTTGTGCATATATGAGACCTCAAAGCCTGCTGCACAATGACACACTTCCACAACAAGGGCACACCCACTCCAACAAGGCCACACCTCCTAATAGTGCCACTCTTTATAGGCCAAGTGTTGAAAAACATGAGTATGTGAAGACCATATAGTCAAACCCCTGCACCCAGGAAGAGAAATTTGGTTTATGCGTTAATTCTGATTACAGACGTGTTGCTTACAAGGTGCCTTGTGTTTTCCAGTGTCACTTTTAGCTGTGGTCGGCCTGTATTTGGTGAACCGTGCCCGAGGTAAGCAGCTCTCGTGATTTCTCCTTCATCTCTGGTGGATCTTCCCAAGGGCTGGGCCTTTACTTAGTGATTTCATGTTTATAATCACACATTCTGAACCTCCCCTCTATCAAAATTGCTGTTATGCCTTTTTGTCTCTAGTAAGATCAGTGTTTCATAATATAAAATCTCAGGTGTATATTAGCAAAAAATCCCTAAACCCCTCATAATCTCATTTCTAAAAATAAAAAGTAAATTAATTTCCACTTTAAGGTTGAGTATTTTTGGTTTAGAATGAGAAATAGCAGATTTTTGACTAGTCCATACTAGTATGCGTTAGTGTATTTTTTATAAGAATTTTATGTCTATTAATCTTTCTAATTGCTTGTCCCTAAAAGGCATGCTATACTTAAGAGAATATAACACAAAAAATTTTAATTTCTTTTAATTTTTCTTAATTTTCAGTGATACTGACATTTAACAGTGTTTCAGTTAAAAAACCTGAAGCAAAATATAACTTCAAGCTTAAATATACAAAGCTAAAATTAAAGTGTGATTATATATTTTTCATTTTGTCTTTCATAACTTTTCATGCAAATATTTATGTGTATGATTACATTTGAATTACTCATGTTGCTTAAAATGTCTACTCATTTACATTTTAGGTGGGAATCTAAATTATTCTGCAAAACAAAGGGAAGAATTAAAACTTTCTCATACCGAGTGAGTACTGAAAGGGAAACATTGTATCTGGAAAACTTTAGCTGTGAGCATTTCATTTCAAGTTAGGTTTGGACTTTAAAGATATCAGTTGTTTTCTTGATTATTAAGAGCTAACGGGTCTGGAAATAGCAATACAAAATTCTTAGGTATTTCAGAAAATTTAAGATGAATATCAAGGCTTAAATGCGAGAATGAAAAGAAAGTGGGCTTGTGGCCTGCTGTCTGGACTGTGCCCTTACGTTCTCTCAGTCCGCCCCGTTAAAGTAGGTAAGGTAACTTTTGGTCTTGCCCTGTGTCCTACTCCATCCTGTTTCTGGGATAAAATGCTCTGGGCAAGAGCAGCTCGGGGAGGAAAGTGTTCATTCCAGGTCACAGTCTCCTCTCATCCATCATCGAGAGAGGTGGGGGCAGAAGCCTGAAGCAGAGCGCTGCCTGCTGGCTCCCTCTCACTGGCTTGTGCTTGCCTGCCTTTCTTGTAATGCCTGTGGCTGCCTGTGTCGGCATGATGCTGTCCCATGGTGCACTGGACTGCGTCAAGTAGCAGTCAAGACAGTGCCCACAGATATACCCACAGGCCAGTCTTGTCTGGCAGTTCTTCGGTTTAAATAGCATGTGTATTACATTATATCCCTGGTGACTCTACTATGTCCAGTTGATATCCTAATATCAGTATGCTGTTTGCTTTTTTCAGATTTCTTCTTAACAGATTAAAGACTGTAGTAAGGGGTTATATTATTTTTTATAAATATGTGTTAAAACATGGTAATTCTGTGTCCTGTTATTTTTAAAGATTTTAGCCACTAAACTTATGATTTAAAGATTTATTGCAAATATGCATATCACCTGATGTTCAGTTTTTGTGACTTGAATAGGTTGGAGTCTGGGGTAACAGCCTGTGTCTTTTAGAGCAGGGTGGTGCTCTTGTTTTTCATGTTGAACTGAAGTGAAAGGCTGCAGAGCTGGCTCAGTGACTGAAAGTGTGCACCGTCCTTACAGAGGGCCAGCGGTCAGTTCCCAGGGCCCATGTTGGGTATCTCACCAGCTCCAGGGGACCCAGGAGCCTCTTCTGTGGCCATCTGCACACATGTGCACCCCACTCCACCCCAACAGAATGATAATGTTTTACACTCTGTGTCTCACAAAGTTACAATTTTCATTTTGAAAACTGCATGAAGCTTCCTTCTTTTTGGTAATTTCTTGTATTCTGTTTTGCAGATAGCACTCTGAAATGACCGTCTTGAGAACGGGCAGCGTGCATCTCTGATTGGAAACCTTCATGAAGATTTTTTCCTTCTTTTTTTTTTTTCTCTTTTTACAAAAGAGTTATTTAGAAAAAGAGTAGAGTGGAAAATATATTTATATTTCAAATATACCTACAAAAAGTGTGTTCTTGTAGACCACTTTAGCCTGTGGTTTTTGTAGCATGAGTTACTAAAGAATTCTAATCAAAGGGAACACTTAGAAAATTGGTCTGGAACGTTCAACGAGATTTAAGAAGGACCAGACGCAATGGTCGGTCTGCATATTCTATTGGGGTAGTTTTTAGTACGTGCATTTTCAGGATGAACATTTTCTATGTATTATAAAAGGGAAAAGAAATATGAGGGATGGTAGAGAAGGCTGTTACATATAGAATAAATGACATTTTCACAGGTGCTTGCGTCTCATAGAGAATGGTGTGCAATTGCTTCATCTTCTCTACTAGGAGATTGAGTGTCATTAAATGCTGGCTGCTGAGCAGCAAACCTTTGGAGGGTTTTGTTTCTATCAGGGACGTGATTTGTAACACAAACTTTCTGAAGCACCTGCCCCCCCCCCAAAAAAAGACAATAAAAGTGTCCTTTTTGTCCTTTGTGATGGCGACCTGCATACATGGGTACATAGAATCAGTGCAAAAATTATTCTTTATGTCTTCCTTATTTTTTTAAAACATTCCAACACTGATTTTACTTTTCCCGGGGAAGATAATCTCCAAAAATCAAAGCTGCAAAAAAAGTGTCCTAGGTACAGTCTCATTGAATGATTACACGTGGTGTGAAGCATCATATGCTTAACGCTTGGGCACCAAGGGGCCGCGGAGGTGGCGGCTAAGAACGTTCACTGCTCTTCAAGAGGACCCCAGTTCAGTTCCCAGCAGCCACATGGGGCAGCTCACTGTCACCTGTAACTCCAGCTCCAAGGGATCCAGCACATTCTTCTGACCTCCTTGGGCTCTTGCACACGTGAGAGCACACGTGTGTGAGCACGCACAAATACAATAATAATCTTCTAAAAGTGCAGAATCTGAACAGACATTCATTTTCTTTTCGATTTAGCATCTATTATGGCTTTATTCGACTTAGTTTTGAGGCTTTGACTACCTGTGGCTGTTGTAGCACACACCAAGTATGATGTCCCTACTGTGTGCGCTGCCTGGCTCCCACATGCTGGCCTTGCCCTTTCCCCTGTGTCCACACACGAGCTGTAGAAAGCCTTGATGTATTTGTAAACGGGTTGTGCTCCTGCTCCTCTCACAGGCTTCGCCCCTTGCCTAGCGTGTGTTCTCTAGTGCACACTCTAACCTGGTTTCCTCTGATTTAAACAGAAGCCTTAGCTCCTAGCCCAGAACCTTCCTCCGTACAGAAACTCCTCCAGACCACTCAGGCCATATACAATCCGTGATGGCTATGAACTTTGAAAGCCTCCTCCTCTGCCTTTTTAGCTCCCCTCAGTTTGTGAAGAATTGGTGTTGGTGTGGGTTTGGAATGCATGGTTTCCTCCTCAGATTGTCAGCTCCATGAGAGCAGGGACACTGTCTGGTTTGTTAGTGAATGTATCCATCGTGCCTAGCACAGTGTATGTACAAAACTTCCCTTCCTTCCTTCCTTCCTTCCTTCCTTCCTTCCTTCCTTCCTTCCTTCCTTCCTTTTTTTTTAAATGGTATGTAAAATAAAAAGTAATTGGAATAACCTGTTTGGAGTATAAATGACAGTTCAAATAAAAAGCCCCCCAAAGGGTTGGTGGGCTGCATGCCTTCTGGCTTAGAAATCTTATATTTAATATGTACCCTAAGGAAACCACTGGGCCATCTTTTGGGTTTTATAATGGTCTGACAGGGAGCCATTCACATATGAAAGTTTAAAGGTTGTTTTCATGATATTGAGGAGTGAGCCCAGGCGGGGTCGTGCTTGTGCTAAACTAGTGTGAGGAGTAGTTCCAGGTCCCAAGCTTTGGGAAATACAATCTGTGGAGATTAGAGACAGAGCCTGGGTAGAGTTCATCCCATTATAGTACCGCAAGGACACAGTTCACAAGCCACCCAAGAACTGCTCCAGCCTACCCACCAGCTGGTTGTGACTGCTGGAGGGTGTCATTTAGCCTCTTAACATTGTACCCATCTCACAAGCACAAGTGAGAGTTTCTGTGGGAGGTGCGGCACCCATGACTACTCAGCCAGAAGGCGCACCCACTACAGACCAAACCATTGCACCGAAATCCAGCTTGGTCAGCCAATGAGTTTTCCTCCCTCCCTCCCTTCCTCTTGCCTCCCTCACTCCCTCTGTCCTTCTGAGACACAGTTTTGCTACGTAGCCTTGACTAGCTTGGAACTTGCTATGTAGACTGTATTGGGCTCTTAGTTCAGATTTCTGCTGGGATTAAAGGTGGGTGCCATCACACCCCAAGAACCAATGGGTTTTTTATTGGTACTACAGGTGCAGGAATGACTCAAACGTGGTTGCATCACACATATGAACTCAGGCTGTGGCAACAAATACAGGGCCTGCACAGATTCAAGCCAGAGGAGGGAAAATGTACATCCGCTCCTACCTCTAACCAAGAAGCTGTCTGCAGTTGGTACCTGCTGGCAAAGGAAAAACTAGCTTTCTCTAATGGTGTCTCACTGGGGATATTAGCCACACTTCAGGGTTGGTTAACACAAAATGAACTCATTAGTATTTTTGTAGACTTTTTCTCTGATTTTGTTTTGTTTAGACGTTCTTTGCCTATTATTGGTCTTTTGCTTGTATATTCTTGTTTCTGGTTTCCCCCCCCCCCCCGCCCACCTGTATTACATTTGTTTGCTTGTTTGTGTGAGGGCCTGTAGTAGGAGGCTGCTAGTTTGTTTTCTGGCTACCGAGACCCGAAATAGTCACAGAAACTATATTAATTACAACACTGCTTGGCCAATGACTTAGACATGTTCCTGACTAACTCTTATATCTTAAATCAAGCCATTTCTATTTATGTATCACTACAAGGCTGTGGCCTACTGGTAAGCATCTCTTTCAGCAGCTACATGATGTCTCTTTGGCTTTGTCTACTTTCCCTCTCTATTTCTGAATTTTCTGCCTGGCTATATTCTGCCCTGCTATAGGCACAAAGTAGTTTCTTTATTAACCAATGGTAATAAAACATATTCACAGCATACAGAGGGGAATCCCATATCACCTCTCCCTTTCTGTCTAAATAAAAAGGAAGGTTTTTAACTTTAATATAGTAAACTTACATATAACAAAACAGTTATCAATTACAGTTACAATATTTACATCTACTTTATCTTTTATCAAAACTTAGGAAAACTATAATTATAACTATCTATTCTTCAACTCCATCAAAGACTCCAGAAGGATATATTACCTAAGTAAACAGGAAGTGCATTGTAAGCAACTTTCAAAACTCTAGAATTGACAGAGACATCTCGCTGCCTGGACAGTCACCCAAAGTTCTGTAACATTTGATGGGGCATCCATCTCCAGCCTATAGACCCACAATATCTGGCAGACTTTCCCATGAAGCAGGAAATTTCAAAGACAGTTCAGCCTATATTGGCAGTTTGTCTTCTGTGTCCTGCAGAATGTCTGAAAGACTCACTCTTTCATGTGGCAGGAAGCCTGAAGGACTGCTTCACCTTCTTTAGGCAACTTAAAGGGTACAGTAAAATGACCAAGCTAGAATGCTCTGTACATAGGTATCAAGAAAGGTTATTGGACATCAGAGTGCCCAGGCTATCTCTTGGGGACGGGGTGGACAGAAAGAAGCAAAATTTTGGAAAATAAGCGGATTTTAAATGACATCACGGTGAGGATTTTTGAGTGGATACAGGCTGAACTGGGAACTAGGTGCCCTTGCCCAAGGTGGTGGACCCTGGGGCAGGTTAACAGAGGTTCCTGGTGAACAGAAACCTGTCTTAAGAGATTCCTGAGGGGTGCTGAATTTAGGCTTCTATTTACCCAGTCAGAGTCCTTCTGTTCAGGACATTGTCACTGCTGTTTTGGGGTGCCCGATTTGGACCTAACTTTTAAAAAGAGGAAAGGGTCATGGACTTGGTTGGATGGAGTGGTAGGGAAGATATGGGACGAGCTGCGGCAGGGGAAACACGTGGTCAAAATAGATTGCATGAAAAGAGCTTCGAGTGGGTTGCATTATCCAAAGGCCCACCCTACACAGCCAAGGACTTACAAAATTGCTTTCTTGAGATCCTGCACAGCTTCCAGGTAGCTAGCTCCGCAGTCCAGAGAAGTTTGCAGCCCGGAGCTCTGCACAGCCCGCAGAGAGCTCCAAAGTCCAGAGAGGTCTGTACTTGGCGGGTAGTTCTTCTCCCCCAGCAGCTGTTTAACGCTTCAGTAACTTAGGGAGGGGTCTTCTGGTAATTCAGTAAATAAACTCCAGCTTTCTCAGACAGAAGGTCTGCTTCTTAAGTCTCAGAAATTCCTCTCCTGGAGGGAATGTTTCAAAAGAAACTTATACATAATAACAGCATGCTTAAAGTAGAATTTTAAGTAGCCACTAAGTGCTTTTGTAGGGATCATGCTTGATCGTATTATTTGGATTCTGCCATTACTATAAGTACAAACAAATGCGTGTGGAGGCGTACTACACCAATGTCTCTGGGGGATTGCTTTTCCGGCTCACGTTTTCAAGTTTTATTTATTTATTTTTACAATAAATATGTGAAAAAAAGCTTTAAAACCCACAAAGAACACAATCACTGTCAAGCTTGAGTCACATTGTTTGAAGAGGGTGACTTTTGCAAAAAAGAACTTTTGGGATTTAGACAGGGCCAAGAGTTAGAATTGCACTGATGGTAAGAAAATTTCATGAGGAAGAATATTCTTGCAGTCTGGATAAGTGTTACCAAGGTAACAGGAAATAATGCATGTATATTGATGGGTAAAGGGGAATGATGCATGCATATAAGATAAAGGGGAATAATGCATGCATATGGGGTAAAGGGAAATAATAATGCATGCATATGGGGTAAAGGGAAATAATGCATGCATATGGGGTAAAGGGAAACAATGCATAGATTTCTTGGTCTTGGTTTGCAGTGGAAGCTACTTGCAAGCTGTTGATGATTCTAGAACGTGTTGCCTGCAGCTGCAGACACCTTAGCATCTTTTAGTGTTCATGATGCTCCACGGGGGGATCTCTAACTTAGGCCCTGAACAGTAATTTTTCTACTGTGCGGCTGAGGAGGAAAGTGCTGGGGTTTTGTAAGTAACACTGGAGTTCTCACCTTGAGCAGACAGCCTAACTTCTCCAGCTTGCTTTTACTCTCTAGAGTACTGGCTGAGCGTCTGGCCAGGCGCTGTGCACACACCTGTGGTTGTTCTTCATCAGTATCATACCTTGGGACCTGCACATCCTTCTCTTTCTGATCCTAGTGTCTACCCTTCTGACCAGTTTTGACAGGAAACAAATTGGTTAATGAGATTCGGTGAAGCAGGACTTTTCATTTGGGACGGCCATGTTGTAGGAGTTTGTCTTTTGAAGTGGGTTTGATGGCTGTCTCCAGGTGGCTCTTTGTGTTTCCGTTTCCTGAAAAATAAAATTGATTTCGTTCCTTGTTGCACCTCCATTTTTGAAGTTTCATTCTGAGTTGAATTTGAGAAGCGGGGCTTTACTGTGTAGCCCCATCTGGCCTGGAACTTCAACAATCTTCTTATCCACCTTACCAAGTGCTGGGGATGTGAACCAGAGCCATCACACCTGACCCATATTTTCTGACACATAAAAAAGTGTCTGTATTTATGTCCATATGATGTTTTGATGCTTGTATGTTCAAATCAGAACTGTCTTAGGGTTCCCATTGTTGTGGTCAACACCGTGACCCAAGGCAACTCATGGAGGAAAGAGTTTATTCCATGTTACAGCTGGTAGTCACCCATCCAGAGAAGTCAGAAGTCAGAGAAATCAGAGAACTTATGCAGAGGCTATTGAAGAGCTCAGCCTGCTTTCTCTTAGCACCCAGGTCTATCAGCCCAGGGGTGGCACAGACGGAAGTGAATTGGACCCTCCCACATCAATCATTAATCAGGCTTAACCACAGGCCAATCTGTTGGAGCCCCTTTTCTCAACTGAGATTTTTTTTTTCTTCCAAAGTGACTAGCTTGTGTCTAATGGACATAAAATTAGCAAATACAAGAGCATAATGTTCTCTTTAATTATAATTTCTTCACAGCTAAAAATACTGAAGATCTTTTTAGCTCACATTTATTCATTTGTTTATTCATTTATTTAGTTTATTGACACTGAGTCTTACCTGTAACCCTGGTTGGCCTGGAGCTCACCATTGTAGATCAACCTGACCTCAAACTCACAAAGATTTGCCACCCTCTGCATCCTGAGTGCTGGTATTAAAGGCACATGGCAGCACTGCTGCCTCATTTGAGTTAAAATGCACGACACATTATTGTTACTTATAGTCAGTCACCCTGTCATGCATGGGCTTTTGTGCCTTTGTTCATTCATGGGATCATTGAATAGAAGGCGTGTGGCTACCAAAGTTTCTTCCCTTCTCTCCTGGCGATTAGCAGGGCCATGTGACCTCTGACTTCCCGACTTCCTGGAGACTCTGCACTAGCTCTGGCTTGAGGGGATAACCTAGCTAGAACCTGGTTCTCTTTGTTATGGTGATTCCACTTGTATTCAAGGTCTTAGCAGAGGGCCCACACCTGCCTCCCCTAGCTGACCCTGCCTGAGGGGCCGGGAAGCTTTAATCTTCTCATCCTGCTCCTGGATGGGAGGAGGCTTTGCATTTTCGATTCTTCTAGCCCACTGGTATAAATATCTGACTTGAGTTTAATAAAGTTGCCATTTACTCTTGTAGATGAGCCAGGTCTCTTTTGTCTGTGTCTCTTTTTCAACCCTCAGGACAATCGTCCCTTCTCGTGGGCCCGAATTCAGGAAGCACGCAGCCTGGGTCAGGCGTGGGTATCCATTGGAAGTGCAGACTCTTACAAAGGCGTTTTCCTAGAGCTGGTGATTCAGGGATCTGGAGGACATGGGCTGTCTTGCGGTGAGTGGTGGTCCCAGGCATAGGTCAGCAGTGCAGAGACTGACATTTGATACGTGTTATCACAGAGCATTGTCTTTGGACTAACGGTTTAGAGAGCTTGGAAGCGCTAAGATTTCCAGACCATATGGCCTTTGAGCCCCACTGCATAGGAGGAGTTGGCTGATTCATTTAGGTGGAGAAGGGGCAGAGTTAAGGGTGAGTAGGAGAGGGAGGCTTGGCACTAAGGCTGAGCAATCCTGCTAGGCAGTGAAAATGAGACGCTGTATAGAAAAGTTTGGGTTGAAAGGTTGGTGTAAGACAGAGGGCTGAAGGCCTCTTGTCCATATTCAATAAAGGGTCAGCCGTGAAAAGTTCAATAGAGGCCTCAATACCTGGTCTAAGAAAGACCACAAACTGGGACCACTCAGGCACCACCCAGGAACAAACCGTCTAAGGGGAAAGTGCCTAACGTTCCAAAGGAAAGTCCCAATGTTCCAACCATTGTAGATAGGATCACCTGATCTCACCAGGACACCACTAGACAAATGTCAGCCAATCAGTCCTAAACCTTCAAAATCCCTCATCCAACTTCTGCTATTATAAAATCCCCACCCCAACTGAGCTCAAGGCTCTGTTTGTTTCAATGCATTGAACCCATGGAGAGTCCGAGTTTGAACTTGAATTAGAATAAAGGCTCTTTGCTTTTACATACGGGACTCGGTCTCCTTGTTGGTTTTTCGGGGACTCAGTGAACTTGGCATAACATTCAGCATTGTGGTCTTCAGAGCTCTGGGAAGAATTTTATGCTGGGGATTGCCAAGACTTAATTTGCATTTTAGGACAACTGGAAGCAGTAAGAGGGGAGTGAATCATTGTTAGAGGGAACAAATTTGGAGGCAGGGGCATGGTTAATAGGTTGTGGAGGCAGGGGAATGGTTAATAGGTTGTAGAGGCAGGGGCATGGTTAATAGGTTGTGGAGGCAGGGGAATGGTTAATAGGTTGTAGAGGCAGGGGCATGGTTAATAGGTTGTGGAGACAGAGGCATGGTTAAGAATACTGGACAGATGATAGTTCACGTACTTCAGCAGGGGCAGGATGCAACGGAGAGAGATCCTGGCTATAGCTGGGAGGTCCAGCTGAAGGTCTGGCCATTTGGGGAGGTGAGGTGGGAAAGAAAGGCTCAAATGAAGGTCACCTTCCAGATTTCTAGCTTGAACAGAAGGTGCTGTCCTTTAACCAATGAGACCACAGGATGGAGCTGCAGTTTGGGAGGCAAATGGGTTCAGCACTAGTTTCAGGGAGCTTGCAGTCAGTAGCCAAGTTATCACGTTGAGTGAATATGATGGGCCGGTGTCCAAGGGGGACAAAGTTTATGTTTGGGAACCGACAGGGAGGCAGTGAGCCGATCCAGGCAGAGATCAAGGTAGGTGAAGGGATGGGAAGGTCACAGTCCTAAGGGCAGGAGGTTGGAAAACAGGAAGCAGAACAATTGGTAGAAGCCAAAGAACTAGCTGAAGCGAGTAAGAAGGGAAAAACAGCACAGAAAAGTCAAACATGGGTCGATGGGATTCGTTCATTGTAACTGGCAGGTCATTAGTGTGTAGTTGAAGCAGTTGGGGAATGGGGGGCGGGGACAAGCAGCGGCAGCCAGAGAGAAAGATTTAAATTATGGTATCAGGGTAGAGTTTCGACAGAAAGCGTAGCCTACCCCTGTAAGAAATGAGGCCATAAAAAGGAAGACAGAAGGAGCCTTCAGTGTGGCTGCATTGCTTGGCGGGCTAACGCTTTCTAAAGGTCTTTTGCCTGATGCGTTCTTCTGCTTGCCGAGTGGCGCAGTCTCAGACGCTGCGATCCTTTAATTTCCTGGAAGTGACACTTTTTGCTTCGTGTTTGTGATTTAAGCACCATAAACATGCCCAGCTACAGCTTGCTTTGAGAGCGTAAGTTCTGCCTCTGTGCATGGGCTTCTTCATGAAGCCCTTACCTTTGAAGTAGTTTGGTACTACAAGCCCATAACAACCCCCCATGCTGGGAAATTGAAACCCTTAAGAGATTTGGCTTGTTTATAAGAAAGTAAAAGATGAGAACCCACAAGTTGACAAGCCCAGGCTGTGCTTAATTGCAAGTGATTCTTTTCTCCCAAGAATTTCCTCATTTTGCTGTCTTCGGAATACAGATTACAAAGCAAAACTGAGACTGTGTATCCTAGGTTTTTTAAGAATTGAAACTGTTGGGCATTATTGTTTGAGTCTAAAATACCCCCCCCCCAGAAGCTAATGCACTCTTGTGAGTGCTGGCCCCCAGCGGAGGCACTATTTTGAGATGTTTTGGAAACTTTGAGAGGTGGGATCCACCTGCAGAAGTAGGTGTTGGTTGAGGCAGGAGGAGGGGCGTGGCCTTGGGAGACTCCGTTACCCCTTCACTCACTTTTCGTTGCATCCTCTGCTTCCTGGCAGGCTGTGACATGAAGTACCCTGCTCCAGTGTGCCCTCCCCGCCACGAGGGATGGAAACTTCCACAGCCTGAGCCAATAAATGGCACTTCTGAGGAAGGAGTGAAGGAAAGAACAGAAGACCCGGGATAAACTGCAACTCCGGACTGCAAGGCGGGGGTCGGAGTTGCCATTGGATGACACAGCATAGGACTACCACACGCGTGAAGAGTTCGAAGACCGAAGTCGAGGTCGTCATGTGAATCTAGTAAAACAGAACAGGTGTCGGCAAAGAGCTCAGAGCCCTGGTGATGCTGGTTACGTCAGCAGGGCCTCTCCTTTCTTCACCCCTCCCCTCACTTAAGGTGCTCCTCACCCCTGCCCACTACTAGAGGCATGTGCTATCATTTTAAGGTCACTGGCTGTTCACACAGAGCTGGTTTAAGTCTGAACTCTCCCTCGCAAGCCCAGTCCCGTTCCCTTCTTCCATCTGCCCTCCCTTGGCACTTCAGAGTGTCTGCTTTGTGCTGGCTGTTGCCTGTCTTTTTGTTTCCCCAGAGAGACTCTCAAATCCCAGGTTGGATTTGAACTTATTATACAGCTGAGGATAACCTGGAGGTTCTGATCTTCCTGCCTCTAACTTTTAAGTGCAGGTGCTAGGATTACAAGCACATGCCCAGTTTATGTGGTGCTGGGGAGAGACCCAGGTGGTCACGCAGAGGCGGCAAATAGCCTATCAACTGAGCCACATCTCCGGTAATTCTTGTGATACTTGAAGCTCATAGTCATTTTCCTGTTTCTCTTCCCATGAGGTCAAAGCCACTGTTTTATTTCTTTTTATGCTTTCCAGTGTATTTTAAACATTTTAATTCTGTCCGTGCCACCTTCGTTCTGCCCGTTGTCTGGGCGCTTAGATCCCTGCTATGGCCTCCTGATATTCATCATTTCCATCTTCCTCCTCTGCGTTCTCAGCATCCTCCTTGCTTCCTCTCTGGTCTGGTTGCAATGTTGTGTCCTACGGATTGAAAAGCTGTGTTCTACGGATTGAAAACAGAGTCTTGGGGGGATGGAAAGAGACCCAAGATGAAAAAGATGTGCATCAACTCCAAGGTGGAGTCAGCAGTCAAGAATGCTGTGAGGGCAGCTGGAGGAACTGGAGTCCATCATCTGTGGGAAGGGAAAGCTGTTCTCTCTGGATACAGAGCTAGAGAGCAGGCTCAGGAAAATGGTGGCGGGGGATGGAATTCTCACTTTCAGAGGCACGGTGGAGGTGCGGGTGAAATAGTATATGGGGAAGGCTTGTAGTGGGGCTGGCAGACCAGCCTGGGAGCGCTGGGTATTTCTCTACAGAGCATCTATGGCAGAAATAGGGAAAGGGATGTGTCAAAAGTAATTTCTTTTCTTTGAGGCATTTCTCATGTATTCCTGGCTGGCCTCGAACTTGATGTTAAAGGGGACCTTGAACTCCCAATCCTCCTAGGCCCAATGCCTGGAATTGCAGGCTTGCTCCATGGTGTTCAGTGCGGTGCTGAGGATAAAACTCAGGGTTCCGTACTTATTAGGCAAGCATTATACCAACTGAGCTTTATCTCCAGCTCCCAGATACTTTAAATGTGTGTGTGTGTGTGTGTGTGTGTGTGTGTGTGTGTGTGTATGCGCGCGCGCGCGTGCGTGCCTGTGTACGGCACATATGTGTAAATATATCATCATGGTGTGACATGGTGGCATGCAGGCAGACACGGTGCTGGAAAAATATTCATCCCAGTGACTTTCAGGCAACAGGAAATGGTCTGTCTCACTGGGCGTGGCTTGAGTCTCAGTTTTTGGAAATCTGAACTCAGGTCTGCACAACCTGGTCAGAACATGCTTGACCCACTGAGGCGGTTCGGAAGCCCCTTGGAAATACTGTTTTTAAACAAAGCTGCAAGTGCTGGGAGGATGGCTTTGAAGGGAAGAAAAACCAATTTAAGAGACCTGGCAGGACTCTGGCTGTGACTAATTTTCCTCAGATTGCTCTGCTCAGGTGCAGTGGGCAGTTCTGCACACCTTGATATGCCATGCTTCTGTTGACTTTGGAAGTCTCCACTGCCGCACTTCAGCCGGCTCTTCCGGCCACGTCTCTAACTCCCTGTTAGGAGTCAACTGATGATCTTGGACAGACTGGATTTACTCATCAGGATTGCATTTCCTCTTTTCTTTGCTGCTTGGGAGAGTATTTAGACTGAAATCACATTTGACTTTCATCATATGCACAGCCCCTCCTCTCAGCTGGGCTGCTCCCGCCCGCCCCCTGAAAACCTCGGTCACACGGGTCTCTGTTTGGTAATGAACAGCTGACAGGGTTCTCTGTAGTTGCCTCCACGGTTAATTAGAGTTCACACGTTACTTGCATGTTTTTACATTTTATTTCTCCCATGGCTTATCTATCTCCCCCTGAAGGACCGGGGTCATGATCAGCAGTCTTGGTGGCCACGGTCATTTTCATCCATTATAGCTCTAATTATGGTCTTTTCAGCGTGATACTTGCTGACCTTCAATTTTACTTTTAACCTGTTCAAACCACTGGACTGACTGCAGAAGGTGGCAAGGAGCCAAAAGCTAAGGGACTTGAGGGTCCTGGATTTCCCTGCAGAGCCAGGCACACTCAGGAGGGACATTTGACCTTGCTTTCCTTGTGTCAGGGGTTGTCACTAGTCATGAAGGATGTGTAGAACACACCGCTGTGTTAGAGGATTTGCAGCTTCATCACAGTGAGAGCAGACTGATTTGATTCTAGTGTCTGGAGACATGATTCCAGGAAAACCAAGGGTGTGGGGTCAACTAAGACATTTCTCACCGCACAAGTAAGACACATATGGATGTTTGTGCTTTTCTGTTAGGTAGGTAAACAAACTCGGCAGAAACAAAACCAGCTCTACAGATGACAGCAAGCACAAGGGTTAAGCCAGGGCTTCACAGCAGGAAAAACGTTGCCAAGGGGAGTGAACACGCTCTTGAGATGAAGGCAGTGAGTGCTGAGTATCCTAAGGGAGGGTTCTTCCTGCCGATAGGGTTGGAACGACTGTGGGTGTTAGATAGTAGTCTGCTGTAACAGGGGATGGCTCCAGACTTTCATTGGGGCCCTGCTGCTCTAATTCTGCAGGGATGTGGCCATGTGTAAATGTAAGCAGTGAGAACTGGAACTATTAGGTTAGCTGAATCTTCCCTATGTGCTGTGCAAAGAGAGAGAGAACATGTGAAAAGAATAAAGTTTTAAGCTCTCTCCGTTATTATAGAAACATTTGCCCATGGAAAACAGCCTACCCACTAATTAGGAAGCATCCTTGCCTGTTCATTAGACCAATTAACCTGAGAAATTCTTTGAAGCAACACTTAATCTTGAGCTAATTATTGGTGGCCTTGAAAGCAATAAGCTGTACTTTCAGAATGAAACTTCATAATTCAGACATATGCGTGGTCTCCTACAGACATTTCCCGTAATTAGAGTGGCATTGTAAAGGGAGGTTGGTTTTTATGAAAATGATTTTTTCACCCCTTCCTGGAGAGATTGTCATAAATTATTAGTTCAGAAAGGTCTTAGGGGGGTTGTATTGTTTAAAATAAAGTTTCTTTTGTATGTGTGTGTGTCAAAGCTATTTATTTTTACTGTTTAAGACCTTAAATAATTAAAAAAAATTAATTCATAGGCAAGGTTGAGAGAGTAATACATTATATATGTGTGTGAAATTATCAAAGAAGAAAACTAATGTGTTATGTGAACTGTGTAAAAACTAAAAATTAGAAAATGGAGATTGTATGTGAATGTGTGTGTGTATGTGTGTATGTGTTGTCGTGAATGGAAGCCTTATGCTTGAATAAAAATAAGAGACACCTTCTTCAGACAGATCCCGGGCTCCATATCTTCCATCTTATCTGGAGGATCCTTTCCTGAGGGAGCCGCTGTTAAGCAATGTAATGAAAAGCATAGAAGGCAGACTCCATGATCTGTCAATAGCCAACCATGGGAAGGAGCCGGATGACCGTCGGGGACAGACTGTGCTGTTGAACACTTGGACAGTCCTAGGCTTGACATGTAGGCTCACAGGCTTCAAGGGCCCCTGCCTTGCATGCAGCCTTTCTTCAATTATGATCTGGGTGGGTGGTCTCCAGTGGGTGAACTTGCCAAAAACCTAGTGTGTGTGTGTGTGTGTGTGTGTGTGTGTGTTGGCAAAAAACAGGCCAATAGCATCATTTCTCAGGGCCGCTGAGGCTTAGATGTCCTGCCCGATTACACGGTAAGGGCTTCACTCTCTCCACCCTCCACTCCCTCATTCGCTCAGCCTCTGTCTCCTGAGCAGCCCTCTGTGGGGCTCTGCTGTAGAGACCGGGGCTGGGAGTCAGCAGTAAGACGAGGTCCTTCTTTTGTGGGAACCTGTGAACCAATGGGATAAGACATGTCAGAAATAAGTCAATGAGTGAACAAGTCCAGGTGTTCAGAAATCCTCCCCAGACCATAGGTCAGGGAAGGAAGAGAGTGGTTAGGTTATGGTGAGAGACCAGCGTGAGCTGGGGCGGGGGGATGCAGCAGAGGCTTCTGGGATGCTGACTTTTGAACTGAGACCGCAATGGCAATATATCAATGTCTGGTCTCCTTTGCTTTGGTGGCTTTCTCAATAGTTTTATTTTCAAACCTCTCGCCATTTCTATTAAGCCCTTCCTACCAGCACCCCTGTAGAAAGGTTTCTGCTCCTCTCCCACTAACCAGTTCCATTCTGGGTCCAGCTCTCTCTTTCCAGACTTCATCCTGGCAGTGCCCAGATCTGCCTAGCCCTAGGTGCCCCTTCCACAACACCGGTGGGATGCTCACCCACCTTGTTCTGTCTCAGCTTCTGGAAGAGTTGGGCTCTGTTGTTGCCCCGTGACAGGAAGTACAGGATGGGATTGAGGCAGCTGCTCATGCTGGCCAGGGGTCTGCAGATCTTGTAGGCTAAGCTGGCTGCCGATAGGAGTTCGCAGTCCCGTGAGTTCCGGAACCGGGTGACGAAGTAGAAGAATCGGGCAATGTGATAGGGCACAAAACAGAGGGCGAAGAGGCTGCACACCAGCAGGATGGTCCGAATGGACTTGGCACGGGCCAAGTAGCCTGCCTCTGGGAGATTCTCCACTGGAGAAGTCAGGCTCCTGACCATCAGAGAGTAACACACCAGAATGATCAAGGAGGGGAAGAGGAAGCCAGAGAATGTCAGAACCACGCCGTAGGCGAAGAAGCGATCGAAATTCTCTGGGCTGGTTGTGTCGTAGCAGATCGCCCGGCCATTTACATACTTCGTGCGGGAGTACACCAGTGTGGGGAGGAGTTGGAGGACCACCAGGGTCCAGGTGGCAGCAGCTGTTTGCCAGGCACGCCGGCGAGTCCGGTAAGGCAGCGAGCTCAGCGGGTGGCACACACCTAGGAAGCGGTGCACAGAGATGCAGGTCAGCAGCAGGATGTTGCTGTAGAGGTTGGTGTAAAACAGGAATCGCACTAGCCTGCATAGCATCTCCCCAAATAACCAGGTGTCGCTCATCAAGTAGGTGACGACGAGGAAAGGCAGGCTCAGCAAATAAAGCAGGTCGGCCACCATCAGGTTCATCAGATAGATGGTGGCGCAGCTCCAGGGCTTGGTTTGGCAGCAGGAGAGCCAGACGACAGCCCCATTGAGGACCAGCCCCAGGATGAAGATGAGGCTGTAGGTTATCGGAAGGTAGACTTGCTTGTACCTCTCTGAGACGTAGCAGGCATTCTGCTCCTTTGAGGCGTTCAGGTCTGGCTTCTTAATCTCTAAGGAGGCTTCCTCTGAGTCCGCCTCTAGTTCTCTTTCTTCTGGGAGGAAAGTCCAGTTCAACATCAGGACCTCAGCTGGGTGCTGACCTCCGCTGACCTGGCGTTCAGCTTTGCTCCCAATCGCAGAGCCCTTACTTGAGCAGAACCTGCTCTAGGTGGAAGAAGAATTAAACCCAATCTCAAGCTGAGCTCCAAATGTCTGGGGGCTCAGGGGTCTTTACCTTGCTTCGTCTTGTCTCTGTGTTGGCAGAATTGTACCAGGGGCTGGAAGACAGCACTGTCATTTAAATAGGACCTAGAGAAATGCTAGTTATGTGCCCGCGCCCCCGCCCTCCACTTGCTAGAACCCTTTGCATAGACTCAGTATCTCTCTCGGGGGAGACATTTTCCATCTGAGAGGACGGTGTGCCCAGGGGTGATTTTGTACTGCCCACAATCTGGTGCTAGCCAGGATACCGTGGTGGTGCAGAAAGTGACCCGTGAGGTTTCAGGAGGATTAGGGAAAACAGAGGTTTTGCCTATAGGCTCTATGGGAGGATTTTGATTTGTTTCTCTTTCGGGATTTATTAACTGCCTGTTTGAATACTGAGAATGATTTGCTTACTAGCCATCAACCTCCTGAACATTTGAGAAAACAACTTTGAGCTCTGAAGCCAGGTGCAGTTTCTTCCTTATTGCTATTCAGGCTGACGAAACAGGCCCAAAGGATGGGCCCTGGTGGCAACAGAGACTGTGTGTATGTCTCTCTCTCACTCTATCTCTGTCTCTATCTCTGTCTCTGTCTCTGTCTCTGTCTCTCTCTCTCTGTGTGTGTGTGAGAGAGAGAGAGAGAGAGAGAGGGAGAGAGAGAGAGAGAGAGAGAGAGAGAGAGAGAGAGAGAGAGAGCGCCTGTGAGCCTGAAGGTTTCTGTCAGTGTAGGTAAGTCAATGTGTGGTCAGCCAATTAGCATGAAGCCCAGGGGCTTGAAACATGTCTAATCTCAAGCCTTAACAATCAATACTTAATATTAAGAAAGACAGTTGAAATAAGGACTGGGATAGAGCTAGTGTGGCGGTGTATACTTAGGTTCACGCTAGAAGGGAGGCCTAGGCAAGATCAGATGGACCCAAGAGTCTGAGGCCAAACTGGGCAATATGACAAGACAAACAAACCAAACCGCAGTGAAAAGTAAAGCACAGCCCAGCAAGAGAGAAAAGCTTAAGGTGATGGCTCGGTGACTCCATTGACTGCTGACAACTGTACTGTGAAGAGCTTTATTCGCAAAGAAAGCAATAGGATTTAGGCTGAGGAGAGAGCCAAGCGGGTAAGCTCCGGCTATGCAAGCTTGAGGACCTGAATTTGATTCCCACATCCAAACAAAAGTCAGACAAGGTGACACCCACTTACAGTCCCAATGTTGGGGAGGTGGAGACAGGAGGAGGGCCCCTGGGACTGGCAAGCCAGTCTAGCCTACTTGATGTGTTCCTGCCCAGATGGAGATCTCATTTCTGTGAACAAGGTAGAATGTCAAGCCACCTGTGGCACTCAAGTTAACTTCTGGCCTCCGCAAGCATTCGTGCAGGTGTGCATACACACGTGCGCAATCACACACGCACACACGCACGCACGCGCGCGCACACACACACACACACACACACACACGAAGACACAACCTTTGCTCTCTCCAGGATCTCACACCTTAGTGGGGAAGTTAGAAATAGACACACCTAGAACTGAAAAGTGGTCACCAAGGCTGTGGCAACGTGGTAGGATATAGCTACTGAGGGCACTGAGTGAGGCTTCTTAAAACAGGCAGCATTTGAACTTTCAGAAGAGAAAGAAGCAAGAGCCTGCTCTGCAGAAGGTGAGCAGCATGGGGGCAGGATGAGCTGGCAAGCCCTGTGGGTAGCTTGTGGCCGCAGATGGCAGGGTCTGCCCTGGGGACGATGCGTCTGTGAGGAGGGAGATTTCCAAGCTGCAGCAGTGATGGAGTAAGGCTAGTGATGGCTCATCCTGGGTGTGCACTGACGGGTTAAAGGGCACCCAGAGTGCCCATAGAACACAGTTGGAGTTTTGTCTGAGAAAGCGCTTTCAGATGGAACTGCATTTGAATCGGTGGACCAATTACGGAAGATCCATCACCCAATGTGGCACCATCCAATTGGCTGAGGGACCAGACAGGACAAAAAAGCAGAGACATGGGACATCCACCCTCTTTGCTGGGGTTGGAAGTCTGATCTTCTGCAAACTCTTGGCTCTCTGGCCTCTAGACTCTGGGATGTTTTTCAGGGACCCCCAGTTCTCAGACATTTGTAATTTGCTGCCCCCAGCTTCCAGGCATCACATTTTCGGGTATGAGTCAGCTCCTGTAATACTTCCTAACTGATCTGCATTCTCTCAGTTCTGACTATCTGGAAACCCCTTCTAGTGATGTATTTGAAGAAGATATTAATAACGCCATAGACCTGAGCCTGGAGCAGGCCGGGAGGCCATCCAGGATGGACACAGAGCAGAGAGCTGACAGGAGTCGCACTACTGAGACAGAAGTGCCACACTTGGCACAAGTCTGAGGAGGAGTTGAAACTTTCAAGTTCCTGAGTGTTGGGGATCGGTATGGTGAGGCCTGGGCCTTGGAGGCACAGTGGAGATTGGCTCCCAAGGTGGTGGGAGATGGAGGATCTCTGTGTGTCAGGATGTCAACCTCTTCTCTGTCTGGCTTTAAAATCTTCTGAACAACAAGAAGAAAGCTTTTTGGTTTGGGAGAGGGAAATAAATGTAGTTTTTATTCGTTTCATTCCCTATAATCTCTCATGCTGGGGTGCTGGCAAATGCTTAGTTATTTCCAGCAAAGCTGTCTTCCCAGTTCAGTGTGGGCTCTCAACGGGAAGCTGAGACTCATTGTTGACTCCGGCAGCCTGGGCCTTTCACACACGTGACTAACCTTGTGAATCCAGCATTACCTCTGTCTTGCTGACGAAAATCAGAGAACATTTTAGGGTACATTGTGAGTTTCAATCTGAGGAGCAGCCCTCTGGTTGGGTCAGTGACCTTGGCCCCACACAAGAACTCTTTTTGTTTGTTTGTTTATTTTTGTTTTTGTTTTGTTTTTCAAGACAGAATTTCTCTCCTGGAACTAGCTCTTGTAGACCAGGCTGGCCTCAAACTTACAGAGACCCATCCACCTCTGCCTCCTGAGTGCTGGGATTAAAGACATGCGCCACCACCGCCCAGCCAAGAGACTCTTGAATGCTGTTCATAGTACTCAGAAAGCTGAGGCAAGAAGATTATGAGTTTGAGGCTAACCTAGGCTACATACAGAACAAGAAATAGGCCATTCTCTTTAAAGTACATAACAAGGATCTGTTTCAGATAATAATAATGATGATGATGATGGTGATAATGATAACAATAAGAATAAAAACACCAGAGTCCCACTCACTCTTTTATGTAAAGATACAAATTTAAATCTAAGAACTGATTTCAGAGTTTAGAATTTTACCTGTGTCTGAAAAATATGTTTTCAAGGTGAAAGGGATTGAAGTCAGGCCTCATGCCTGCTAACACCGCTGAGCTACATCTAGTCCCTGGAGACCTCTCTTTAACAAATGAAACTATTTAATGGAGGCTCATGAATATTCCTAGACAGTAATTGTTTATTTCTACAAAGTTTTGTTTTCTAAGAATCGTTGGCAAATACTTACCTGTTTATATATCAATCAATGTTTGTACCTGTTGACACGCTTACATATGTATGTACCATATATACCAATTTAAAATTTATTTACAAGAAGGAACCACTCACATAACAACACAAGTATTTGTTTTATGGTTTCTTTTACATACAGGTATATTTAATTCTATGCTATATTAATGTAGCAAATGTTTTACTTGGAAATAACTTTGTTCGAAAACCACTAGATAATTTGATGCTATTTTGTCAACTGACCACTGGGTGGCAATAAAGACCACAGACAGTTTTCAACCTTCCTCATCGCTTGTAAATGAAAAGCTGAATTGGAGTTGGGCTTCTGTCTGCAGAACAGCAGTTATAGAGAAGGCAATTTACTGAGGACTCCTCCCCACCCCAAGCTCCTGTTAATCAACTTTTCACTTATCACTGCATCCACAGTTACTATGTTGGTTTCATACAAAGAAACAGAGTTAGATTTAGCTGAGAGCAGCCCTTTATCGTGGGTGGCTATTGTGCAGAATACTCTGGGAGGTAAGCAGAGAAGACCTTATTCCCTTCATTGTACAGCCGAGAGTCTAAGGTTCAGAGAGGCTCAGTGGAATCGTGGGGCAATTGATGCAGGGAAAGTTTGGACTTCTTTTTTACAAAGCCAGCTTTCAGGGGAACATTTTCTTATCTCCCTCCCTCCACCACAGGTGCCCATCCCCGGACCCCAAACCAAAAGAG